CTCGCACTCTCACTCTATTTCTTTTCTTTTGCTTTCTAAGATGACAGATGCTGAATATATACTCCCTATCTGATGCTGTGGCTGTTTGTGGTTGGCTGAGAGGGATGTGAACTCATTAGTTTGCAGCTGTGTTAATCAAATCAGGTTGGGTTTCCATTACGCGTGCCAAACGTGCCAAACGTGCCAAACGGTGCCAATCCCCTTTGATCTGACATCACATGTGACGGGACAGTCGATATAGAGATACATTTATGTGCTGATTGCAGATAGTTGCATTGAATAATGGGTTTTTTTGCATCGTTAAAGTGCCTGACATTCTGGAAACCTGCCTGTGAGGTTTTGGTGATGTGTGCGCACTGTCCGCCGGTCAGCCAAACTTCCACTTACACCGGCTGCGCTCCGCCTGCGCTGACAGTAGACCTGGTTTCAGCTGGCGAGCTTTTAGAGCACCTTCGGCGAAGCCTTTTGGCACGAAACTGTCACTGCGCCAAGCTGGATCTGTCGACACCTCCCCCTGCTGCGCCACCACACCCATCTCAGTGCACCTCGGTCTGCCAAACTACCAAACTAAGCGCACCTCGGGTTGTGCTGCTCGAAACTAACTGTGTGTGGGGTTCGCTGTGCCAGGAAACTGGAGCCCCAAATGTCAATATGTGATGACGTCAGAGTGAGAATGTGTTAGATCAGCAGTTCGATCCTTGACTCCTCCAGTCTGTATGTCAAAGTCTCCTTGGGCAAGATACTGAACCGCAAATTGCTCATGATGGCTGTGTGGTGTGTAAGTGTGTGTGAATGCAGCAGGTGGCACCTTGTACAATAGCCTTGGCCACCAGTGTGTGAATGTATCTGTGAATAGATGAATGTGACTCTAATGTACTCTCAGTGATCTGAAGACTAGAGAGGTGCTTAGGGCATTTGTATTGGAAAAAACATTAAATAAATTCACTCTTACACAGCGCAGTGTGCCCAAATATTCAATAACTCAATAACTCTTAGAAAATCTTTTTTTTAAGTGTCCAATGTTCTAAAAAAAATTTCAAAGACAGCGACTTGTTAATTGTTCAACTGTTGTTGATTAATTAAGTTGTAATTGTCAACATTCACAAATTATTCTGCGGCACTTACACCGCTACACAAGCACAGTCAAGTGTCTCTAATTTCTTTCTACACCATACAGGTGTTAAAAAATTGAATGTGTGTGTTCAGGGATTCATGCACCCGAGATGGAGGGAGAACAATATGAAGCGATGAAGGTTGGGGTAGTATCAGCAAGCGCTTCAATCGTCTTTCACCCGTGTCACTGCTACATAAAAGTTAAACACTTCTTTTCCTTTTATTAATGAATGAATGAACATTTACCTGCAGAGAGATGTTTCTCTTTCATGAATGAATTCACCCTGCTAACCCTAAAATATTTTCATTATTATGAGTTTCAAATACAGTTGCATGTTTCTTCCACTGTGCCATTGCCAAGAAACGCTGAATCCCTGACATCTCACATCAGCACAAAGTACCAGAGACGAATTTTCAGTATACTCCACAGGTGGAAAAGGGGAATAAAAAAGATGAAATAGAAGGAAACGAAGAGATGAGAAGCAGGAAAGGGAAACGAAGTTGTGAAAAGAAGAGAGGAGAGTAAAGATGGAGGCAAGGAGGTCAGAGACGAGGAGGCGTTGGAAGTGTAGAGTAGACGAGCAGTTGTTGAGGAGCAATATCAGGCATGGATGCTTTTTAAGACAGAGAGACTGCAAGAATCAGAGCATTGCGACAAATAAGAATTCAGTACACACATAGACAATCCTTTATATCATTGCAGGTATGAATATCAATGCTTCTGTCAACCTCTGGGTTTACTCAGGCTTTATGTGGAACAGATCTGTTATTTGTGCAGCCCACACTCCATTTGTTGTAGCATTAGATATAAATCTCTGTGCAGATTTGCCCTTGTATTGCATCCTAGTGGCAATACGTTACCGTATGTCTCTGAGTTGTGATCTCATGCTTTGTTTAAACTGAAACACACTGTAAATCTGTGTCTTATTCCCCAGCTGGTGTCCGCACAAGTTCACAACTCTTAAAGTTGAACAATGTGTTTCTCTTGGTATTATAAATGTCTCTGATCAGTTGTTCTTTCTTCTTTTTTGTGGGGATTTTTCAGTAAGAGCCAGAGGTGGTCTCTGTTTTTGTTCATTTGTTTGTGTGCAACACTGTTTGCAATGTGCTGTGTTTGTGTTGTAATTACTGAATGATATTCATACTTTAGGGCAAACTCAGCCCCGAGAGCCCCGTGTGAAGAGATGCAGTGTGTGCTTGAACACCATGAGCAGCTGTAGAAGTCAAAGAAGCATTTGTTGGTGTTCATTGGTAGAGTTTTAAGCATTTGCAAAGTCTATTCAGGTGTACTGTCAACTTACTTACAGCGTTAACCTGTTCTTTACATCCCCGCGAAACAGAAGATAGAGCATCTTTAGCTTCTGCACTGTGATATATTTCCCAGTAAACGAGCTCAAGAGTATTTTAGCAGTCTACAGCTACATGAGGGATTTAAATCAAATCTTTCACATTTGTTTGGACTGCTAAAAAGTGAGTGGGCTTAAAGTTTAGCATGATACGCAGCAGCAGTGGAGTCTGGAGCGGACTGCTGGCTCCACACACACCTCCCTCACCATTAGATCAGAAGGATGAGGGAGAGATGAATGAATTAAACCTCCACCACATTGTTTTGGAAAAGAAAAGAAAGGATTTCAAATACATACGTCCTCCTGCCTCTCTCCGTATTGCTCTGCTTCAACCCACACACTGTGTGGTGTAGTCTCATATAAGCGGTGTGGCTAGCCAGTCGCCCAAAGTTTCATTTGGTTGGATGAACTTTTGTTAACGCCCCTGAGCGCAGGATGAGTCATCAAACATTTGAAACCATTTCACCTGGTTATACAGACGAAGAGAAAACAGGGAGTTTGATGTAAAATGCTCATACTTACTTTTTTGACATAGATTTGGTACATGACAAGAGATAAATGCCCAGTTGATACACGGACACAGGATTAAAACTGGAAAAATGTATTTTTCATATCATGATAAGATACTTTTTCTATACTCATCACAAGAACACAGCGACATCACACAGTTAACCAGAAAGTTAAATTTTCTGCTGACTCAGTCTTTCTTTCAGAACACCAGCATGTCTGTCTAAGGAACATCTGGTCAGTCACAAAAAAAATTAGCATAGCGTTAGTCCAGGCAGGACAAAATGTCAAGCTCAGCTCACATCCTAGCTACATCAGCTGATCTTAAACAGTCCTATCAACTGATGGAGCAGCTGATTGATGGAAGGGAGTCAGCTGATAGATTACATGATTCCTTTCTATACAACTAATTGGTGAATCTCATTCAGGGAGCCCTATTTAAACTGCTCTGGCCTGCCTACTGTTGCTGCTTCCTCTGTAAGCCACTTTGCAACCTGCCTCCACCCCAGCTCCTCCTTTTAATGCTGTGTCTGACTTATCATTGTCATTTGTGTTTGTCATTGATGCTGCTCTGTTCTGTTCCTGGGGGGTCTTTTCTACTGCTCTCCCTGTCTTAGGCTTTCCATGTAGGCGCATGGAAGGGCAGAGAGGTTTGCTCTCTCTGCCTCAGGCTTTTTTCATAGGCACATGGAAGGGCAGAGAGGACTCAGAACAGATCTAAATATGATACTGCAAATGAAAATAAAGTTTTCTTTGACTAAAGTGTTCCTGACTGAACTACCTTACTTATCATGTTTTACCTCTGTGGTAAACAAAATGACATCTGTTGTGTTTTTATAATTCAGTTTGTTTTCACTGTAAACCACTCTGCAGTTTTGGTCAAATGTCGAATCTGTGCATTTTTGGCAACATACTGTCTAAAAGTGAAGGCGTCATCTTTACTCTACAGAACATACAAAGAAAAGTTAGAGACAGAATTGCTGCAGTAGAATCGTTATTAGCAACATGAAACTGTCTCCAGTGACAACAGCTCTCTCCTGTGAACACCACCACACGCTTACTCCTCTCCCCCTACCTCTCCTTCTCCCTTGTCCTGGTCCAGCTACTCCTCTCCCTGGTTCTCTTTGTCTCCCTTGTCCAGACATTATGTTTTCTCTGATTGCTCCTCTGTTTTTTTCTGTATCTAATTGCCGAAATCAGCCCAAAAAGGCCCTTTTTTACTGTTTATGTCTCTGTAATTGAAAGAACTTCAACACCTGCTTATGTCTCAGATTGAGCATTGGTCTTTTTAATGCAATTTAAATCAGATGTTTCAATATAGCATTCGAGCTGCTGTTGTTTTAGAAGTACTGTTGAGGCTTATACTGTATTTAAGGTTTTAAACAAGGTTTTCATATCTGGAATGCTGTGTGCAAGTATTTGTAAAATGACACAAGAAAGATCCATTTAATTGCATATACTGTCACAACACTATGAATTGTGTTAATGGTACGGTCCACAACATATGGGTGTTGTGTTATTTGTATTTAGAGGTTGAAAAGGCGACAACAGATTGGACAAATGGATGTTGACAGTTGAAAATACAAGTTGGAAGTCATTTTTCAGGCAGAAATTGAAACATTTTCTGGTTTCAGGTTATGAATTTTCACAGTTTGCAGCCTTTGTTGTATTTCATATGACAGTAAATTCATCTTTTTTTCTCCATGGACTGTTTATTTATAAATTAATTGAAAAAATAATTGAAAAACCTTGTCACCTTGGGCTACGGGAACAAGTGGTTGCCATTTTTCTCTCTTTTGTGACATTGTATGCACTGAATTAATAATTGATTAAAAAAAAATACATACTAAAAATGATGAAAATAATAATTCATTTCAGCCATAATTCACTCTTCATCAAACCTCAAGGTGAACTCCCTCTCCTCAGTTTGTTGTTATTTTTCTCTCATTATGCTGCCTTTCTTTCATCTCTCCCTCTCTTTGTGTTTGCTTGTCTTTCTCTCTCAAACATGTATTGTCTCTGTGTGTGTTGCAGGATCACTCTGAACGGGATGAAGGTGTCCAGGCCAGACGTTCGCATCGGCCGCTACAGAATGATTAAACACGAGAGAGACAAACACAACGAGCCCAACCCACAGAGGTACTGCATCATTGTCCAAACTCGTTCTGCGGCTCCACGTTTGGATCGATCGTGCTGCTTTTGTCTCGTAGCTACATTGTTCAGATGTTTCTTCCAACTTTTTCATCTCCATTTGAGAGAATTATGAATATGTGGTGCTGCAAAGGGCACACTATCAATAACATGTCCTTATAATTAGAGCTAGCTGTAGAGGACTGTACTGAAGCATGAGCAACACAGGCAATATAAAACCAGCAGAGTCCTCTGTCCTTCATCATCCACATTACCTGCTCTCGTATTGTCCAGTTTTGCTAGAATTACATGCTAAACATATTTTAACTTTTAACCTGTGATGGTTAAATGAGAAGCCTTTGATTTTTTTTTTTTTTTTTTTTATGAGCAATTCCTTGTTCACACTCACACTGTGCACACTCACACCTGAGAGCTGCCCACTGTTGGGCCAGTGCTCTTGCTGTTGGCCGCTGAGCAGCTCCTCATAAGAAACTGCAGGAGAAATAACAATGTAGTAGAATATAATTAACTATTTCAAAGTGTATTATTATAGACCCATTTTGCCTACCGCTTGAATAGCTGGTGAGATTGATATGCTTAGGCCAGGGGGATTTTTTATAAATATAGATGTCATGAGTAAAATTCTCCCTAATTCTCCTCCTTTAAACAGTTAATTGTTCAGTTATCACTTCTGTAAATGTTATTTCCCATGTTTAATTGACTTCCACACACTGTAAGAAATGTAAGTATGTTGTGTCTGGTGGAAAAATACTGAATCCTGTATGTAATTTAATTTTTGTTGACATAAATAGACTAAAAAAAATATAAAAACTATAGTAAAAAACAAAGTATATTGAGTCAGAAATACTGGAAATATACTAAAAAATACCCACCATGTATATTTCTTGAACTATATTATTATCTCAGGTTGTTTAGACGATAGAAATAGAATGTAGAATAGACATCCACATAGTAATCAAAATAGCAGGATGCTCAGAGTGGCAGCCATTTTTATGTGTACTGGTGCCATTGCAAAGAACTTTGACCACTGTAGCAGGCTAACCTCCATGAACCGACAGCACCTGCAGCACTTCCCAAACTCACTAAGTTGAGGTCTTGAGGTACGACCAAACGAGTGGTGGAGTAGTACAAAGCATTGGCGTTGTCTGCTGAGCATTAACAAGTCACAAACAAGAAAAAAATGCCAGCCTAACTGTACAGAGGTCAAAACGGTGTTCTCAATCTAGTGATTGTGACACATGTAACAGCTCGACTGACGTGTGATGTCAAAATATATGTATCATGGTTGACCTTGACGAAGACCTGAGGGCCGAAACGTAATCTAAATAAAAGAGCAATGCGTATGGAGCCAGAGTGTGCGGCACTTGTTTCCTACTTTCAAATCCACTGCCAGTGATCAGCACCTCACTACAACCCGTGGTGTGTTAAGTTTCTATATCACATAGAGCTCCAAGATGTCCACTTCACAGTCAACAGAACTGCTAAATCCTGGCCAGATACACCTAGGATCATTTGAATTCAGCCAACACCAAAGACAAGGTGTTATCTGCAGTGAATCACTGCTTCAGTCTGGAGAAGCCTCTGAACTGTTGAACCTTTGCAGACATAAGGTGTGAGTGTTGATCTTAAAGAAGCCCTGAGGGCCGAAACGTCATCTCAATAAAAGAGAAATGCATATGGAGCCTGAGTGTGCGATACTTGTCAAATGACCAGGGCGTTCTACAACTTAAACCCTCAAACTAACAGAGGGCCTCAGTGAGTGCGTTTACATAGACATGAATAACCTGTTGATGAGTCTCATCGCAGTTATGATCGTATTGAGGATAATAACCAGGTTACTGATGACCGCAGTATGTTTGCACAGGCACTGTGATGTTTCTAAAAACAAACGGACAACGGGGGATGAGACAACAGGAAATATTAAACACTACACTACGTTTACTACCACTTAAACTTAACTGCTGATTTCTTCTCAGCTCTGTTTACAACAGCTGTCTGCTCTGAGTATTTCTGCGTATTGCTCTTTCTCTCAACTGCACACACACACACACACACACACACATGCACATGCTACCCAGGCCCTAGTTACTCACCAGTACTCACCAGCAGCTACACCACTCTCTACACCAGTGCCATCCTGTCAGCGTCGCTGCGTAAAGACAAAACTTTCACTGCTGCCATTTTTTGTATCTTGGTTGCATGATATGGCTGAAGTCACACCTGCACAGGTAGTCAGCTGCTCTCAATAACCAGGATAAGGTGTATACATGTTACAGTGTCCTGCTTTCTTTCAGAGTACTTTTCAGGTTTCTCATAAATGGGAAAAGGTCTTATCCAGGTTTCTGAAAAAGGCATATGGTGTTACATGCCCAGACACATAAACAGGATATTCAGTCTTCTGAATGGTAGCTGCAGCCCTGAATATACTGATTATCTTACCACAAAAAAACTACCGCTACTGCTGCTGCTATTTATCCAAGCAAGACAAAGAAAATGGGAGCAAAATACCAGAAAAAAAGCAATGAAACTGGTCTTACAGTAAATCATGTATTTTTTATGTTTGAGGGAGAGCAGAGAAAACCCTGCAGAGAGACAAAGAGAAACATTTTCCTATAACTGATAAAATATTTCACTCATCACAGGATGTTAAAAGATGCATGAGGACATGTTAAATAAATAAAAATGCATGCATTTAAAGATGTCATAGTCATTTCCTGTCTTCATAGCATTTATTAAAACTCAGTTTCTGCTAATGTGCAAGTTACATAAATAGTGACACCACTGAATGCGTACTGTAGTCTCAGTGAAAGTATCAGATGACTGGGCAAAATGTAAATAAAAGCAATCCTCTGAAGACCACAGCGTGGCCTTTTCTGGTCACTGAAAGATTGGAAGATTTTAAAATGCCAAGGACAAAACATTTTCAATAAACTAAAAATTGCTTTTCAGAGATACAGCCTAGGGGCTTAAATGTTGCTCTTTTGGCTACACCCATTTAAATTGCTTTTCAGACAAATGTGTAAAAATGCTTCCCGTATAAATGTGTTATTTTATGGTTTGATGAATGAGACCCAATATGCAGAGATGAGCCCTTCTAGACACATTAATCACCAGGAGTATAGCACCTCACATTAAGCTGCTTAAACGTGGATTATCACTGTTTATTCTCCTCTAAGAGGCCCCCGTTTTCATGCCTGGATAGACCAGGCAACGATGCCTCACAACACAAAAATCGATAGCTGCTGCAGCTGGGGCAGAATGAAGATACAGTGAACCCTGTTCCCTCCTCCAGTATTGTTTTAGTTTGATCTCGTGTGGCATTATTATATCAAAGTGTTTTGACAGGACTGCGTCAAGGTTCACAGTTGAGGTCCAGTTTAGCTGCGGCTCCTAAATTGGTTTATAAGAAGATTAGAAAAAGAGAGTCATGTGTGAAAGAGCAGTGACAGCCAAACAAACTGTGACATGCTTCATTTGAATTTTGCACAAAGTCTAGTGAGAGAAAAAGTATCCGATTTTGTAAACCTTTAAAAAGCATTTATTTTTTTTCTTTTGTTATTAACTTCACACGTTCATTTCAATTATAAAAAGCAATCAAATCACGTTTAATGGCTTTACATAACTGTGTTTATCGCTCCGTGTCTAACCCTCATTCACCTGCCTGTGAACTCCTGCAGAGGCACATTCATATTCATTCATTCAGATACAGTGTTAGTGTAATGAATGCCTGACTTGACACTTAAAATGCATTGCTCAGCCGTGCATTTATGATATGAAGAGCTTGATCCCGACATGATAATTACAGATGTAACAAATTAAAGCTTTTTGATGGTAATGCTAATGGATATTGTAAAAAGCAGCTAACGACTTATTTGTGTGAAAAGATGATAAAACATGACGTGTTTGGTTGCTAAGAAGCAGAGAGAATGTCGCTCTAATCCTGGCCTTACATTCGTACCTTTTACTGACTGCACTTTGATGTGATCACATATAGTTGTGCTCTAACAGTTAAAATCCTCCCCCTTACACAGGTGTGGGAGGAAGGAAAATGAGCCCAAAGTAGAGGCTGTGACTGAAAAGAAATGAAAGGTCTTTTTCTACCTGCAACAAGCATCTGCTGATTGTAAGGAGGATCTCTTTATATGGTGTCAGACACCTTCAAAGTTCCTTGTTCTGCTTCAGTACAAGACTATTTGCTGGCAATGCTAATGAATCCTGCAGTGATTGGCTAGCAACTCATCTAAAACATGACTGAATGACTTGAAGAGAAAAGATCCTGCTCACCTTTATTTATTAAACTTTTATTGAACTTTTATCAGTTTGATATGCCTCTTTATGTCATAAAATAACCCATGGAACCACGCTAACCAACAGAGGTGTGGACTCACATCACAAATTTGTACTGTAGACACGACTTGATGACTTGCAGACTTGCAGCTTGACTTGGACCAACGACTCGTGACTTCACATGCACTTGAGCTTTTTGACTTGAAAATACTTGATACTTTACCCCAAAGATAAAAAATGTTTTATAAAAAATCACCTGAAAATAAGAATAGCTGCGTTTATGTTTCCTTACAATGAGCCATTTATTGTTACTTAATGAGCTGGTCCTCGTCCACGGAGTCCGCCATGGTGCACTGCCATGTTTCTACAGTAGCACATTCATGTTTTCACATCAGCCAGAGTAGCTAGCAGCCCCTCCACAACAAGCATTATCGAAAAAACACATTTTTTAATGTGAAACTGCTTTACTCAGTGAGATTTTACTGATTTAAGTCACTGGGTCTGTTTGTTTTGGAGAGAGGGAGGCCTCTGCAGATAATTTGGATAGTGGTAAAAACCTCCTGAACATCTGGATCTTAACTTAACAAAAAAAGGTTAGCACAGATTAGCAGATGCTAGGCTAGCAGACTGTCTCTGATGAGCCCCACACCATCGAATTAACACTGATTTGTAACATAATAGAACCTCTTTAACAGTGAACA